GGGGGGGGAGGAGGACAATTTTGCCAGTTGCCAGAGGCAACTTCAGGAAGATTTGGGGGTTACAGGATTACAGAATAATGGCAACTTTTTCATCAATGTAGGTATCAAACCCTCTTCTGGATTCTCATCTTTCTACCTTCTCCTTACAGCAGTCATTATTCACATGCCCTGGGTAGCTTGCAGTCAGCACAAAGTGAACCGTTCTAATTTGCCTTTGTGTGCCACTTTTTAGTGATGTTTTAACAGTTTTCTTGGCAAGATTTCGAAAGTGATTGCCATTGCAACCACTTTCCGGGATTGAGAGGGAGGAAATGACCCAAGGTCACCCAGTTGGCTTTGTGCCTAAGAAGGGAATAGAACCCAGCACTTTCCGGGTTTCTAACTTGATGCCTTAATCATTACACCAAGCTGGCTCTTCCAAAATCTTGCCAAAAGAGGGGGAACCTGCAGGTATTAGTCCAGGCAGTTCCTAGGAGTTGACGCTAACTCAAAAGCACATCAACCTCATCGTCTTCATCTCAGACTTTACATCTTCCTTTGGAGTCTCTGAGAAAGGAGTCTGTGGCTCATGGGTTGCTTTTACTTGTTGCAAACTTCCTGCATTTGCCATTCCGGCTTCTATTAGAAGCAGGATGGAGGGGTGGGGGGAAGAGTGGTTCCCTTCCCTCCCTCAAAGATTATGTGCTATGATAAGCAAAGTCTCAGAGGGAGTCTGCTAGCACCTTTTCTAACTAACACATTTTATTAAAAAGTTTCAGCTTTCCTGAGCTGCAGCTCACTTCATCAGATGCTTGGAGTGGCTAGGCTGATGCAAGCTTTAAATAGGGATGAAACTGGGGGGTGGGGGGGGCAGAGAGAAGGCAGAGGACAGGGGACGTGTGCAGAAACTGGTTGTACGTGAAACAAAACAACTGCAAATATAATTACCTTATTCATGAACAATTGCAATTTGATAAAATCCATTACGTTTGAGGAGACCTTCAGAGACAGTCTGCAAACTTTTGATGTGTGAGTTTTGATGAGTTCCATAATCTCTTACTCAATTGTGGTGATGATGATGATGATGATGGTAATAATAATAATAATAATAATGATGATGATAAAGTTGGAAGGGACCTTGGCGGTCATCTAGTCCAACCCTCTACTCAGGCAGGAAACCCTATACCATATCAGACAAATGGCTGTTCAGTCTCTTCTTAAAAACTTCCAGTGTTGGAGCATTCACCGCTTCTGAGGCGGATTGTTCCACTGGTTAATTGTTCTAACTGTCAGGAAGTTTCTCCTTAGTTCTAGGTTGCTTCTCTCTTTGGTTAGTTTCCATCGATTGCTTCTTGTCCTGCCTTCAGGTGCTTTGGAGAATAGCTTGACTCCCTCTTCTTTATGGCAGCCCCTGAGATATTGGAACATTGCTATCATGTCCCCACTCGTCTTTCTCTTCATTAAACTAGACATACCCAATTCCAGCAGCCGTTCTTTATATGATAATGATGAACTTGAAGCAGAGTCTTACAAGCAACAAAATGATGTTAACACAGGAATCCACTCTCTGACCACCTGAATGTTTAGTTTGCCCCCAGATTTACACCAACAACGCTATCACAGGCTCCAACAGCTTCGCACACAAGATGAGAGCCACCTTGACGTGCTATTCCTTCAATAAAATATGTTTTATATTCTATCAGTAATTTTCCTTCTACCAAGGACAAATAGGTCAAACTTTGTGTACAGGAATGAACAGCTTGACATAAGGACTCAAAACAGGGAGCATCTCGACTTCGCAAGACACTCAGCAGGAGATCCCAAAGTGGCAAAATACCTCAAGGATACATGTAATCTCTGTCCTGTGTAATTTACACTTGCATAACCACCTAGTCTTCCTGCCCTTCCATTTCTCCTATCCCAATTTAAATTCATTTAGCCATTCCACTGCACTTGATGAAATAAGCTGTACTGACCAAAAGATATACCTTTTAATAACATTTGTTATTTAGAAAGGGTGCTACTGAACTCTTATGATCTTGGGCTATGATAGACTAACATGGTTCTCCTCCTTTGCTATTATAATATAAAGTTTGCCATGTCGTGAATTTTATTTTATCCTTCCATCTTATATTGCTGTTCCTCATCAAGCATTGTTATGTGCTTGGTGATATAGTACATATTAATGGGACATAGATGAGTCCATTGATGGGTTTACTGTGTTGTTACAGAAATGGAGGAATATAGGAAGCTGCATTATTTCAAGTTATTCTATTGAATTTGTCTAATTCAGCTCTACCTTACACTCACTTGCAGCAGCTCTTCAGGAGCCCTTATCAACTCTACTTGGAGAAACTGGAGATTAAACCTGAAACTTTTGTAGATAATTTTGCACTAGGCTTTGGTGGCTTTAATCTACTAGCTCTGCCCTAGTTGTACTGTATTTGTAGCTGTACTCTTTAATAGTGCATACATTGTTGCCTGAATTTTTAAAGCAGGATTTGGGAACAGTCTGTGTAAGAAAAATACAGCTTCAGTGTGTCAGATATTAGAAGGTGCAGTTTCCATCAACTTGTTAGCTGGCTCTGTTAGCTGGAAGTGTTGGGAGACCATCAGACCATCTCAGGCAGTCCCCGGTAATGAGATCCATTTCTCATTGCTATGATTCAGAACTGCTATTAAATTTAATTGCACAGTTCTGTCTTTAAATAACTTTTAAAATGTGCTTTCCAAATAGCAGGAGCTGTGCTTGAGCAAAGGAGACATGGTAAATTACATGGCGGTTCTGAATACATTTCAGTGATGTAACATGGAGGTTAGATGAAAGCAGATAAAGTTGCACCTTGTGACATCTTCCAGAACCATGAGGTGAAAGTGTTTAGCTGCTCCTCAAGGCTGCACCATAAATTATTTTTTCACTTTTGTAGCAGTAAGAAAAATGATAAGCCATCCTATCTAAAATACTGTGCAAGTGTGCATGTGATTTTTAAAGTTATTTCATCAACCATTTTTCTTACTGGAGCACTAGAAAAAAAAATACTAGCAATAACATCTGTACAGCTTTTTCAATTAAAATTTAATCTGATCATAGCTTATCCTAGTTATTATAGAACCTTGAATGCCTGTTGCCAATGTAGGCAGGCAGGTGGCTGCTGAATTCAAAGAGGAGAAAGGAAGCAATAGTCTCCCTACGTATCTTCTTTCTTTGAATCCGGATACTCTTCACAGTGCTGCAGAAGTTTTTGGTTCTCAGTTCTTAGCTTTCCAAGAGACTTGAAAAAGAATAATGGAACCTGGAAAATGACTGAAGTGTTAGACTGGTACTGTGAAAATCCAGGTGTAAGTCTACACTCAGCCATGAAATTCATGTTTTTGGACTAGTAGCTTTGTTTTGGACAAAATTTGGAAAGACCTCCCTGTGGGATACCTGGAACTCTCAGAGCGATTACAAAATATAAATTATGTTGTTGCTATTTTATTCTGTATTATCAGTACACTTGGATATTTATAGCTTTAGTACAGCCTTTTAAGACAGAGAGGGGGCCCTATAATCACAGGAGTGAGAGGAGGGGAGGAAAGAATGGAGCAAATGAAGCCTATGGACTGTAGAGTGAACTATTAGATACATGCTTTGAGGGACCATGAAAATGGATTTGAGGAAGGTTTAGGTCAACTTGCCACAGCCAATTTGTCATGGCCAAATCCCCATGGGACAACTCACTACAGCCAACTTGCCGTGGGACAATTCAAAGCTGTATTAATAATTGCATTTTGTTGCTTTTATTATTGGTGACCACATTTTCATCAAAATGATTGTAACTCTTGTATTTCTGAATTGACTTTTTTTTATTATTGTTGGTAACGGTTCTGTTGAATTGTTCTGTGACAAGTTTTCCCGTGGTAAATTGGCTTTAGTGTGGTGACTGAGTTGGCCCCAGTGAGTTGGCATAGCAAGTTGTCCCATTCCATTTGAGGAAAGAAAAAGAAAGAACATCTCCTACACATCCAGGAGGGGTGTTTTCTGGAACCAGGGAGAAAAAAATGAAAGGAGTGTTGAGTTGAGCAGAGTTTTTTGTTTTGTGGGAAGAAAGGAATTCAAAAAGAAAGAAGCAATAAGCACAAACAAAAAGCTAAAAGTTGGAAAACTGTGAATCACTTTGTAGAGAAGACAGAACACCAGATGGAGAAGGGAATGAGAAGCCAGGAAAAGGATCTGAAGCAAAAAAAGAAACTAAATGGTTTGGACAGTGGAATTTTGAATAGAAATGCAGATGAACACAAAATGAGTAATGAAAGAATGCCCCCAAATTAATGCTTTAAGAGGAGTCTGCAGACTGACAGCAAATTGCAGTTATGTAAACATGGTTCCATGCAGTGGTGGGATTCAAATATGTGAACAACCGGTTCGCTGTGTGGATGCTGCTTCCGGAAGTCCATTCTGGGCCTGAGCAACAAAAAATTATCTACCAGTTCTGCCGAAGTGGTGTGAACTGGCTGAATCCCATCACTGATTCCATGGGATAATTCATATTTCTATGAATTTACCTTGCTCCAAGATAGGCCAAAAATAGTTATGTAGATCCTGTATCTTGGATCACTTTTGAATAGGTCCCATATGTTGGAAACAAAATCCAAATTTGAAAGCTTTATTTAGTTTATATTATTTTTATGCTATGTGGACAATTTTCTCCATTCTGAAAAGTACAATGAACTTTGGGAAACTTCACTTATTACCTAAAAAATAACCAAAATAAAGATGAGGGAACACTTTATAAAATAACTTTGATTCACAAATTTAAATCTGGTGTACAAATGATTCATTAATAAATTCCTCTAGGAATATTCTTTGATGGGGAGAAATCCAATAGTGGGTTTTTGTTTTTGTTTTGTTTTAAAAATCACCATGCATGTATATTTGGTTTAGATGCTTCATCTGGTTTTTTCCTGCAGAATTCTGAAATGTTTATTCTATTTATGACATATACACATATAATATATTTGTATATATACTTATTTTGCAGCATGCTGGAATATTCTCTGGACTTGCAGAATGTCAGTTTCTCGGCTGTTCGGACAGTCAGAGTACTCCGGCCTTTGAGAGCCATTAACAGAGTTCCCAGTAAGTTGAATTTCTTTTCTCCTTTCTCCCCCTCGCTTTGTTAATAGTTCATCATTTCTGATAATGAGAAATCAAAAGAATAAATTGGAGATATTACATATTTTCCAAAATTGCACTGAACATGTTCCCCCTCTGTCTCTTCAGCACATCAATTATCAGAGTATTTGCCAAATCATTGTGAATGAATAATCCAGTTTGTTCTCTTTTGATGAATTGTCCTTCCATTTGACAGAAATCCCTCAGCAAATGAGGGATTTATTTATTGATCAGATTTATACACTGCCCATCTCACTATCTAAATGACTCCGAGTGGTTTATGTTACTATGATCAAACATGCAAAGAAGAGTTCATTTTTTTTTCAAAAGATGTTTGCCTTTCTTGTGTTTTGCTTCTCTTTCTGAAGTGTTTTTCAGCTAATGTCTCATGTGAATCAATTATTCAGCTTGTTTAATTCTTACCATTCATTCCCTTGATTTGGAGACATTAGCGGTTTGTGATGGAAAAGGATGGATGAGTTATTAGACACAATATTGGCATGGGGACATGTATGGATATAGTTAGGGAAGGCTGCTTTCTTCCACTAGCATTAAGTAACTTGCAGAGGATGATAAACAAATCCTCTTCCTTGAGTTGCAAGATGCTCCTTGATTTAAGGCAGTAAGTCTTTCTGTCTATGGAGATTCTCAGTCATCCAGGTCATGGTCGTCCCAATGGTCCTTTTTCACACGGCAACTGGACTTTCTTGTTTTTCTTTGAAGACATTTTGCTTCTCATCCAAGAAGATTCTTCAGCTCTGACTGGATCCTTCCATTCCCCACCATCCAGTCAGAGTTGAAGAAGTTTCTTGGATGAGAAGTGAATCGTCTTCAGAGAAAAACAGGGAAGTTCTGTTGCCTTTAGGACAATATGTCTATCTAATATCACAGATTGTTGGGCATCAGACTGTATCCATTTCAGAAGCAGTTATTTTTCTGGAGCACTTGGCTTCTAATTCTTATCTTCAGCTATGCACTGTATCTTTATACCTTATGCCCAGCCATTGCTTTTAATGTGATCTCTTTTATCCTCGACCTTCTGGGAAGAATGAGTTCTCCAGAAATAACGAAAAGGAACACATGATACACTTTCCACTTAATCCTATCAAAACAGTGTGCAAAATAATGGATATAGTTATTTGTTTTAGAGAATTGATTTATTGGGAGGAAAACAAAGAGATTTGCAACTCTCGGCCTTCTTCACTTGGACTATATAGGTTCAGTGTTCATCTCAGAACCTCTACTAGAATTTGTTCTTTTTCCCAGATCCCTTCCAACTCTCTTACTCTGTTATTCCTAGATTTGAATGGCTATTCTATTTAAGCATGGCACATACACACACATGTTTAAATTAGGAAAAATATTTTTTCCAAGGGCAGGTACCCTTGATGATAAATCATGACAGTAAAGCCAGAGATATGGAACAATAGTGGTCATATTAGAATTGGAGAGACACAGGTCACAGAAACTCACTGGATGATCATACAAACTCATCTCAAACTATCTCACAAAGTTGCTGTTGTGGGGAGGAATTGGAAGAGCAAGTCTTCGTGAGTTGCTGGAGAGAAGGCAAGATATCAATATAAACCATAAAGAAACCAGAATTTATTGTACATCTATAATGCCTATGCCTGTAAGAGAGCTCCAGAGGATTTTGATTTAATATTTGCATTTTGAGGGTTTGTGTATTTTGGACTCCTTTGTATCTCTGGAAGTCAAAAGTTGATAGCACCATTTTGATAGCAAACTACTGGTCAGATGTTTTAGGAAATTAGTTTCTATTTTCTATTTCAGGGATTCTCCAATTGTGGGTTCTTAAACTACCACCATTAACCCCCCCTCCAGGTGGGATCTTGAGCAACTTAGAAAGGATCATAGATTTTTTAAAAAACTGATCATAGTAGAAGCACTGTTGGAACTTGGTCCTGTTCTGAATGGGCAAACTTGAAGTGAACTCACCTGCCTAAAGCAGGGCGCAAAGCCTGGAGTGATCTTAAAGAATGCCTAACTTGTGGGTCTAATTGTTGTCAAAATCCCTGCCAAGCACAACATAACAGTGGGTGGCAAATGGTTACTTACCAGCTGGTGACTACCAAGATGGCATGTAACAGTATTTGCAACAGTACTTGTGTACTTGTGTAGTCCTTTGAGTCTCTGCAGAAGTGTATGTGTTAGTGATTTTCACTTATTATAAATCTCTAGACTTTCAAAATGAAATGTTGTGATAAATGAAAAAGTTAAGCATGACGAATCTGATAAAAGTCATGTTCAGTCAAAACAGTATGATGTATGTTATGTAACTTCTACTAAGCTGTACATTTATTTCTTACACACCCTAAACCCAATGAAGTCATTAGTTCTGAAGGGTTACAATAATTTACTTATTGTTGTAGTGGAGAACACCTGTTCTATTTCATATACCTTATGGGCTTTTTCTCCCTTTCCTAAACAAAAGCAAGAGGTTGTTTGAATTAATTATGTCAAGGCAATCATACTAGCTGAAAGTCCAAAGCATCTCAATCTGATGCATCTAATTCAGTAGAGTGCCTAAATTAAATTCAAATTTCCATCCAACCCCTGCATTTAATAGCTTAAGTAGGTGCAAAGCTCTGTAGCATAGAAGAAGACCCATCTGGTTGAATTTGTCTGTTACCTTGACAACACGAGAAATTCTGACCTGGATCCATCTGTCAGAACCTGGAAGTTCCTAGGCTATATTTGCTTTTCTAATCTTGTTAAATTAAACTTAATCTACCAGGATGTTCCCTGTTGTTGCTGCTGCTGCTTTTATTGTTTTATGATACAAGAAATTTCCTCCCCCACCCATCTCTCCCCCACACACACACACACACCATCAAGCAGAATAGATAGGGCTGAATTTATCTGCCTCTATCTAACTGGGGATATAATTTGCTTCATACATTTGCAAATCCTGGGTAATTTATCTTTGATCCTACTGTACATAGCAAAGCCAAGACTGCCCAGGAAGCATAAGGAAGCAGAATGAGGAAAAGTAAGAATCACAAATAAATGTAGTGACTTAAGGCAGGTCATGTAGGGATGCATTGAGATGCTGTTTAGTTACCAAGAGAGGAACTAGAAAAAAATAAATGATCTTATAATTTTTTGAATATTTGCAATTGGAGTAGAGTCAGTATGGGTTGGAAATTTTAATGTATTGAGAAACAAAAGGACAGAGAGGTTTTATGAATACACAGGTGGGGGAGCATGGAAACATTTAGGATTGCTTCTTTGCCAGGTGCTTGTAATTCTTACTGACTTATGAGCAGTAAGAATACAAAGACTGTTTTTCCCAGCATAAAGATAGGCAGTGAGATAGAATCTTTCTCCTGTAAAGATTTTTTGTCTGTAAATGGAGCGAGATATTGACAAGAAGTCAAGCAAGTAACAGGGAATGGTAGCTGAGTTAAAAGAACAGACAAAATGCAGAAGGAAAAGTTGGAAGACCCTATTCACATATACATGTTTCTGTACACAGGCAGACATAGTAGTTTTCTTACTGGAGTAAAATATTATATTTGATGTAATATGTGTGTGCTCACTCACATACATATATATATATATATATATATATATATATATATATATATATATATATATATATATATAAATAAAAATAAAAACATACATAATTGTGAAGAGTCCAGCCTAATGGCACTGGATCTGTTTTATATACTTTGGTGCTGTGCTGAAGGTGACTAAGATAGAATTCAATATTCCATGTCATTGTTATATAGCCTGAAATATGACTTTTAATATTAACTCTACATTGACTGTAGAGCCTGAAAAATCAGCATATAAATGAACTCTGCTGGACAGCAAACTACAGAAGAATCCACAATGGGCCAAATACAAAGATTAACTGATGCTTGCTTTCCCTGGAAAAGGAAAATTTGCAGAGTAATTCGGGGATGGAGGCACTTTTCTTACATGTAGAAGTGAGGAAGGGATCTTTTCCATTTTTGTTTAATCTACAGAGAGTCTTGGAAACTTAAGAGCAATGTGGATCCCTTTACAAGCTGCAAAGTGTTCCCTGAATAAATCTTACGATTTAATGACATTGTATGGTTAAATGGTAATTCCACAAAGTGCTAATGAGAGGAAGAAGGGGCTCTATAAATTAAAAAAAAAAAAGCTTAGATGAAATAGATTATTGAGAATCTACACAACCATAGTATATACTTCCAAACAATTAGAACAAGTCATTTAGACATAATCATGAGTACCAACAACTTTTGTAGGTCTCTAAATTCCCTTTAGAACTGAACAGCAAACTGTAGTCTAATGGGAGAGAGGACATAAAAGAACATTGGGCTTCAATTTTTTAGGAGCAGGGATGATTATGTCATCTGTTGAGTGTCCAGGATGATCACTGAGCTTTGATTACAGATGGGGCAGAATGCCATGAATACTTATTTTGATAGGAACTTGCCAAGTTTGCATCTCCTGAATGAATATATGGATCTGAATGCAGTTATCCTTTAATATCTACATTTGTCAGAGCTTTGCATTGATATGAAATGCATATATTAAATGTGCACAAAAATATGAGGAATGGGGTTTTTAAAATAAATGAAAAAGCTTTACATTTAGGAAACCTGCTTACTAAAAATACAATATTAGACAATGTCGCATACAAAATGTAAATAGTTTACAGACAGATCTTCTTGGAAAAGCTGGATGTAGATGGAAAAGGCAGAACTGATTTAAAAGTGGAAAAATTAAAAACTGAAGGAAGTTAAATTGATTTATCTACCCCTAAGTGAAAAACAAATAAGAGGGTAACAAAATGTTTTCAATAAGCAAACAGAAAATCAAAGAACAAATATTATAAAACAAAGTCAGGCGTTTTGTATTACAGCTTGTTAAAGATTTGTGTCAAAGCTCAATATGTTTTAAAGTTAAATTCAATGGAGGCTCTTTTGCCAATAAATGCATGCCACTGCAGTCATGCTCCATAAATTTAAGTATGACATTTTATTGGTGGTTTGTTTCTGATACCTTTGTTTTATACTGTAGCTATTAATCAAGTATAAGAAGGTTTTTTTAAAGAAACAACAATAAAGCTTTTTTAACATATAAAAAAGGATATTTCTATCAGGATTCGTCTCTACTAAGGTGTAATTCTGGATTTCTTTGAATCTGTAGAGGTACTCATGGCGAGCTCTTGCACTTCAGAATTGTCCATCATGCTGACTGTACATTTTCTTTTTTTAAGAGGTAAAGAAAGTGGGTTGTTTTCGTACATGTTCTAGGGTGGTATGTCTCCATATGTCTTCAGTGATATCAATCAATTGATATCAATTGGTATGTGTTGCTGAGCCCACAGGACCACACCAATTGTGAACCTTTGACTCTTACCATACCTGATTAGATTAGCATTAATTAATTAGAATATGTTATGGATTCACTAGGAAGAAATCCAGAGAGATTAGATTGCAAAACTGCCTTTCCATCTTGACGTCTTAAAATTATGTGACACAATCAGAATTCCCATCCTATTCTGGGAACTGCTGCCCCAACAAATTTAGAAGAGTCCAGATAGGAGAAAACTTCTGTAGATGTATGAATATTAGCTATAATATCCTTCTTTTCTTAGAAGTCAGGATGAGCTAACTCACTAGATCTTCTCATCCTAAACTATGGCTTTTATTTGCTTCCTTAGGTATGCGCATTCTGGTCACTCTGCTTTTGGACACACTTCCTATGTTGGGGAATGTCCTCCTTCTCTGTTTCTTTGTCTTCTTCATCTTTGGTATTGTTGGAGTCCAGCTTTGGGCAGGGCTACTTAGGAACCGCTGCTATCTACCTGAAAACTTCAGTCTGTAAGTATGAATGAGGTAGGCTTGCTTAGGTTCTTTGTACATGCTGGGTTTTTTTTTTAAATGAATTAAGGTAGTAGTTCCCATATGCACTGCAGTATTCATACATAGGGTGTGAATATCTCTGCCTGCTGATATAACAGAAGTGGAAATTTTCTAGCAAAGTCATAACAAACCACACGAACATCTAAAACCCTCAGTAAAATCATACTTTTTTTCAGAGTGTGTCCCATTGCCATGGCTGATAGCTGCCCAGCAGCGGTGATAGAAATGTCCTCTTTCAAATATGTCCATCAGCAGTTACAATACTCCAAGAAGGGAGAATCAGCTACTGAACTGTAACTCTCAGCAACCAAAATTCTGACAACCATTGCCAATTGTGGGGGAATTTCCAGCCTCTGACTAAATGGAAGAGGAGGAGCTGGAAAACAGCAAATGATGAGATTTGGCTCAGGAAATAATTTGATGCAAATCTATTGAGATAATAGGAATGGGGCAGGAAGAAGAATCCATTCTTATCAATATTCAATTCCTCATCTCTGCTATGGCATGAAAATAATCCCAGAAAAGTATGGAAGAAGTCATTATTAATAATGCTGGCATCATAAAGTGTAACCAAGCTTTAGAGCAGCGGTTCTCAACCTATGGGTCGCGACCCCATTTGGGGTCAATCGACCATTTTATGGGGGTCACCAAACAAGGCGATCCGCCATTTTTCCCCCTCAGGGGGCGGCACCGCGCATGCGTGCCGCACATGGGGGCGGCGCCGCGCATGCGCGGCACGTTTGTGTGACGGGGGTCGCCGTCACACAAACGTTGAGAACCACTGCTTTAGAGGATTACAGACTTTTTCCTGATTTATGGGTGCATACATGATATGGTATCTTTTCAATATAGATAAAACTGTGTATACACAAAAAGTGTTTAATACACATATAGCAATGAATGCAAAATGTATTTTTGTAGTGTTTTTGGAGAAGTCTTCATTCTGATTCAGAAAGATCATTATGTTTGGGCTGCATTGAAGTCAGTGCTACTTATGTGTAACCACTAGTTGTGCAGTAGGGCTGTTATCATGATTGAAGATTGAATGTGAGATACTGTAATTAACATAAAGAGTATCTTGTTAATATCCAAACAGTTTAAGCAGATTTCAGCATAGAAGCATTCTTTTGAAGCTTATGAAATTTTTTTCAAGTGCCCTCTAATCAGTGGTGGGATTCAAATATGTGAACAACTGGTTTTCTGGGTGGATGCCGCTTCCATTTTGGGCCTGGGCAACAAAAAATTAGCTACCGGTTCTGCTGAAGTGGTGTGAACTGGCTGAATCCCACCACTGCCTTTAATTCTTAGGTTATCAAACACAGCTAAAGTTTCTGAATCAGAAACTTATAAAATAAAAGTTTGTAAGGAGATTTTTCTTCAGAAGTTTGGACGTTTTCTCCCCTTTGGGTTTGTTTGCTCTGAAGAGAGAACAATTAAGTTTCAATAACCCCTGTAAATAAATTAGCAATAAATCTAAACCACATTCTGATCAAGTCCACACTCCTCCAATGAGGTTACTGCTCTGAGTGACTAAATAGATTCAAGATTTCAGTTGAGATGAAGCAAAGGGAACAGAGGGGAAGACAGTTGATTATGCAATTACTGATGAGGCAGATTACAAGTCCCTAATCAATTAACCATTGTGAACATCCATTGTGTTTGGTGAGATTTTTTGAGATTATCTAAAACCTTTTCAAGTATGTGAGTTCAGAAGTCTCTTAATCATGCTGTTAAAAGTCTTATATTTCTAAAATGGTCACTTTGATGTCTTCAGAGGATATTATCTGATTGATATTTCTTTGTCCTTGTTTTGAGTCCTGACAACCATTAATTTTGGGGACAAGGATCCTTCAGTTTCTCTAATTAGCTGTTTGGAGCCATAATAGACTAACATGACTCTCCTTGTATGTGGTCTGAGTGAAAGGTAAAAGGCTGAATGGAGGGTGAGGGATGGTTAAGTTTCAAATGGCATTCAAAGCAATTATTCAAGAATGCACCTGGCTAAACCTCTCCTAAATTTTGTTTTGCAAGCTTTGCTATAACCTAAGTGTGTTAGGAAAGTGAAACATACCTTTTTTCCCCCTAATAAAAATATGAGTGAAAGTATCCTCAAGATGAATTAATCTATTATGGAATAAACCTTGGTGGATCATAGCTTGCTTTATGTTGGCCATGTAGCCCATCAGTTTTTGTGATTAAAAAAAACCTGGTGGCTTAGAGGGGGGGCTGCAGAAATGTCCCCTGGGCTGCCAAGCTGTTTGGAATTGCAAGTTGTCCACCACTGACTTCAAGCCAGTTTATTTAGGGCTACGACTGTTTCCACTTTTTCTTTCCTTACTGACGTGCTGTAGTAATTATGTAAATAACAAGGTGGGTTGTTATTAAATTCTGCCCCCGCTTTGAAGCACTATGTTTTTCATAATCCACAAAGAAGTAACAGCAGATATATGGAACTGAAGCTGTACATGTATCCTATCTAATGCTGCATCCTACTTCATATAACAACCGGCACAAATTATTTGAGGGAAAGAGATACCTTGGAGTGATATATTTGTCTGACATAATTTTTTAGCTTCAAAACATCAGTAGTTTTTAGAGACATTTTTTTTAAAAAAGAGAGAATTGCCATTTCAGGCAATCAGAGTGCTCCCTCCTACAATTAATTTCTCTGATTGCTTGCTCTGAACTCAATTATCCTATTGGCCCCTGTAACATCTCTGAGCCATTAGTTCCTCATATTGCTCTGTTGACTACATGGACGCCACCTTTGCTCTGTTCCATTTTCATACTGTTGCTTTGTAAGAATAAGACTGAGATTTCCCACTTTTTTTTTGCATTGTGATTAAAAACATTCCATCTTTACTTCATCCCCAGCTGGCCTGATTTTGGTTCTATAACCAGCCCTGCTTCACTTTCTTCTAGGCCTTACACTTTGGAGCTGGAATCCTACTATCAGACAGAGAATGAAGATGAAAGCCCTTTTATCTGCTCCCAGCCTCGAGAAAACGGGATGCGGGATTGCCGCAGTGTTCCCATACGGAGGGAGGAAGGCCTGGTGTGCACCCTGAACTATTATTCCTACAATGACACCAGCAACACCTCTTGTGTCAACTGGAACCAATATTACACAAACTGTTCTGCTGGGGATCACAACCCTTTCAAAGGAGCAATCAATTTTGATAACATTGGATATGCATGGATTGCAATATTTCAGGTGAATCAAAAGGACCTAAACCGTGATCTCGTGCAGCTGCCTTAACTGGGAAAATGGAAGTTTGTGTTTATTTTTGTTCAGAAATACATTTATTTTTTCAAATCTGAACCAAATAATTAAATAGTTGAGAATCTGCAAGTCCTGTTTTTCTTATAATAAAATATAGGTTCTGTGGGCACCAAAAGTGCATGTGTTTTTTTTGTTCTTCTCCATTGAATTATGTCAATTTACAGTATTGTGTTATGTTTTTTTCATGCAAAGATTGAATACAGGGATGGGCAATTGGGAGCCCTAGGATCAGTCAGTGCGTCCCTTGGTCTCATTTAAGGTGGCCCTTTGCAAGTTACCTATTTAGATCCTCTGGTAAGAATTTTCTCACCCTTCCCAGTAACTGCTAAGAAAGAAAAAAATGTGAAAGAATATGAAAGAAAATAATGATAAATATTGCATCCACCTTAAGTCCTGGCCCATCCTATTACTTGATTTAGCCTTGTCTACAAAGTAGCATTGAACAGATTACTCTGAGAGAATGTGACCCTCCATATAGACAAAATATCTTGTGGGTGACTTAAAAGTTTCATAGGTATTTTCTTAGATGTCTACCATTCCTTGTCCTTCACAGCCCTACATCCATCAAGATGAGCTAACCAATGGCTTCCTTTTCTTTTGCCTTATCACAGGTCATCACCCTGGAGGGCTGGGTAGATATCATGTACTTCGTCATGGATGCTCATTCCTTCTACAACTTCATCTATTTCATTCTCCTGATCATTGTGAGTTCCGTCTCCAGTTGTGTCAATCAGAAGCATTAAACCTAGATTTCCACTGAGGAGGAGCCATATGGGGGTGCATGGAAGGACTGATAAGACGGGATTTATAATTAGAGCTTCCCAAAACACAGTAGCTGGATAAAAAAGAAAACCAGATCCCATGTGTTTCTTACATTTACAAGGTGGCATTGAAATCACTTAGAAAAACATCTAATCAGTGATACTGGTTTCCTCACTATTTACTACTCATGCTTTCTATTCTTCATTTTTCTTTTAATAAGCAAATGCTGAAGAAAAAGAGAACTAACTTTAAAAGTTAGCATATAATTGGCATTAGATGATGCTTGAATTTGATCTTCGGTGACAAAGACAAATGCAAATAATTTGATCTTATATTGGCTTTTATGATAAAGAAACCTACTGACCATGATATTTTTGTTCTTGTTTTGGTAGCCTCAAATAACCTCTATGCTTTCCTTGTAATATACATAACAGATTTAATAACAGCTGCTTAGGTTTTGTTTCTTTCTGCCTTACCCCAATGTTTATCAAGATTATACAAAGCTTGTATGTTGGGGGAAAATGGGAAATAGAGTTATGGCAAATAGATTAGATATGGAAGTCATTTTAAAAAAAAAAAAAAAAAAACCTCAGACGCATTCACATTAACCTACATGGGTAGTAATTATTTAGGATCTGTTTAGAATTGCAGGGTTTTTTAATCCAACAATAATCAGCATCATTCTTACTCTAGGCCAGACATGTCAAACTCGTGACGTCACGTGATGTCATGCGATATATCGGAACCTTTTCCCCATTGCCGGCAATGGGATGGGCGTGGTTTCCTTGTGATGTGTCTAGCCCGCGGGCCGGCAGTTTGACACCCTTGCTCTAGGCTATTGCAAATACAGACATGGTACAGATTGTAAGATCATCTGTGGTTCTCTAAGTAGACATTGACTAGAATCTATAGCGGAAGCTGTGGGGCCAAAGGTGATCTCTTTTCAGCATCTGGAAATCACCAACAATTGTCACTGAGAGTAAAATTATTAAATGCATGACTGAATATAAATCGAATGAAATCCCATTTAATTTCTGTCCTGCCCCACCAATTTAGAATATGGCCCCAGCAAAGATGCAGATGCTGCGTAAACTGTAAAAATACAAACTGTAAATAAAACAGGAGAATTAATAATTTCTAGAACACTGGCTTGAGGACTTCGAGATAATTATTTACAGAGCATTAGAGAACAATGCAACAATTTGTGCGCTTTAATGAGGAAGAATAAATGTGAAACAGGTGTCAGGAATTTAGATGCTTTGTTTCAGGCCATTAAGGCCACTTTTCAGAAAGCAGAGTTTAGATAAATGCTCCTAGAGAGGGACTTAGAGGTCACACTAAACTTGGAGACCACAGGTTCAACTCTTCCATGGCTATTAAATTTAGAAAGAGTGTAATGAGTCACAAGAGTAAGGCAGAATCTGTAACATGTAGCATAAGCAAACCTAAAGCCTAAAAAATCCTGAGATTTTTCAGGGTCTGGATCATGTTTATCTATTATTTATAAGAAGTATATTCTCCAGGAACCTTCAGTCCTATTCTACAAATAAGACATGTAGATGTAAGCAAACAAAAATGAGAAACAAATAGGATTAAACACATGTTTCAGAAAGCTCAGAAAAAATAAAGAAGATTCTGGCCAGAAACCAAAAGTCATAATGCTTTTGTATCAGGTGACACATGATGTAGAGTGCACCATAACTGTAGCTCTACCACTGAGACAAGGTTGTTTCATTTTGTGTATTGTTTTGTTTTGGTTCTCAGCTGGCAAAGGTTCCATTGGAGGCCTTCAGCTGAAGCTCTTAAGGTATAAGCTGTAACATATGGAGATAAATGTTTCTTCTGCTTCTAGGTCTTAAATAATGAATACTAAGGCCAAAAAGCAGTATCTGGAATCTAAATATAGAAATGGACTGAAGGCCAGGAGCAGTTGGTCTAAGACAGACATTTCATCATGTCCAGGTTGAGATAAAAATATAGAATTTAGATTCTGCACTAACTGCAGTTTCAATAGCCTTCAATACACTTCAAATGCATTACAGTCATTTTACCTAGGGTTTACTAGAGTATGAATAAAAGAGGCTGGTCTTATATATGGTTGAGTATCCCAACTGAACTTTAAAAGCTTTGTAGCTGATAGACCTTTGGTAGCTGATTGAATTAAAGTGTTTTTTTTTTCCCAAACACAAATCTTCCAAAATTCTCTTAAACTTGATTAAGATGAAAGCAAGAGTGTTCTAACCATTTCAGCAACTGAACTCTTGAATTAGGAACCAATGCATAGTATTTATGTCTGCATTAAGGTGGAAATATTCTGAATCTTTTTCTCACAACCAGAGAAGAAGTGGGTCTCTTCTCTGATAAAGGGGAGGCCCGCAGTTGTGAATGAGGTACACAATGGTTGCTTGAATCCGTCTCAGCCCCCAAACCCATTATTACACCAATACTGCCTGGCCATGCAGTCCTAGGAAAAGCCTAGACTTTTGTTCCTTTTTTGGCACCAATTTTTTTTTTTTTGCTTGCCGGTGAGTTTCACATACCAACCAATCATGTCCCTGAAGGGTCCTTGAGGGGTCCTGAGCTTGTTGTTTTGCAGATGTTTCATTATCCAAACTAGGTAACATCATGAGTACACGTCTTTTTAACCCTGAGCTATAAATATTCTCCTTTATTATGTCCATTTACATTATCTGTTTCTTCTGCAAATGTTCAGTCTGTATTCATGTTATAATCACAACAAGGATATTATACCAATTGATTACATCTGCAGTGAGGGGAAAAATTGTGACATGAGATTTTAACAAAAAATGCTGGGCAAAAAGGAACAAGAGCAACAGCTTCCATGGACAGGCAACCTCCTAGTTAAGTAGATTTACCAGGACATGCATGCAGGGCCAAGAAAAAGCAAAGGGCAAAATTAACATCATGATGTAAGCTGTGTCCTTTTTTATATACACACATCGTGGCAATTTTTTTTTAATTCTGACAAAACTGGGGGATTCTAGTGTAGATGCTTCTGAAAAGCCTCCAAAAAGGAAGAGAAACATGCCTTCCCCGCCCCCACAAAGCTACATAATTGTAGATGAGTCAGCAACTTCTGTCTTCTGAGATGGTCTGAGTAAACACTCAATTCATAGAACTAAGGTAGCCAAGAGAAAAGAATTGGTTGTAGGCTGCTTTTTCAGATCTTCAGATTGAACAGCCATCAGGAGCTACATAAAATTCAGCCTAATGGAGAGCCTGCTTTGGAGTAAAATTCAGACTCTAACTGAAGGCAACTGCTGCCTTTTTGAGTGCCAGCTAACAAACAAAAAGATTTCTTCAGAAAGCAGCCAGGGACTCCATAAGGGAAATATCTGCTTTGAAAACAATTCAAGTGAATATGTTTAGGGGAGAGAGAAAAAACTGCTTAACTGTGATAATTACAAGTACAGACTACCAAGAAATCTTTTAAAGTCAAAACAATCTTTTTTGAGCTGCATTGTCATTGATGTAGTGAGGACTGGGGGGGGGGTTTTCCCCTGAGCTGAGGAAGCTTGAATGTCTTGATGTGAAAGAAAGGAAGGGACCCGTGGCTAATCATGACTGATGACTGTCACTTTGGAGTGAGTTTGCAGCTTTTTTTTTTTTTCAAGCTGGTTAAAGTCGGTCTTTGTTGAGAGCCACTTCTGTATTGTGATTTTTAACCATAGATGTGCTCCCCACATGATTCCTGAACTTGAGAAGTTCATGACTAACTCAGCACGTATAAAGCAGAGAAGGTTGAAGCATCATTGCAGCAGTTATTAAAGTCCAAGGGAAAGATTGCTAATTACTGAGTTTTCTCTGCTTGCTGTGTCCCTTTCTTGTCACTGCCAGTTCATCTGTAAATTCCATGTGGGAGGTCATTAGGAAAGAAATTGAAAATAACATTAATCCCCGTATTGTTATTGCCCAGCCACAGTTGGACTACTCTGCCTAGTTCTATTCCCTGTGGCTCAGAAAGAAGCAGGAAGAGCTAGAGGAGGTGCAGATAAGGGCAATCAAAATTATCAAGGGGCTGGAGCTAATTCTTTTATGTGAGTGGGTTGCGTCAAGTGGAGAACAGGATAAACATATTAAAAAGGCAAATAGATGGAGACACGTATGAACGTACGGTGAGATTAGTGGCCAGGTAATTTTTCTCACACCCTCAAAATATAAGAATCGGTGGTCATTCAGTGAAATTAAATGGTGACAAGGTTTAGGAGGACATCTTCATGCACCACATGGCTAAACTATGGAACTTGGTCTCAGAGGAAGGAATTTAGTGGCAGTGTGTCTCTCAATACTACTGGTTGGAAACAGCCAGGAAAGTGCCGCACGCTCAGGAACAGGTAATCTGGCATCCTTCAGGACATTTGAATTTCAGCTCTCTTTACCAAGAGTAACCATCTATAGAAATGATAGCCTAAAACATCTGCAAATCACCAAATTGCCTATCAATGAAAGAGTCCAGCAGCCCCCAACCTTTCCCACTTTGTGAACCAGTGGCAACGGTAGCAGGGGGGGGGAGAGGATGATTCTGACTTTGCGCACCAGCACGAGTGCCCACTATTTGTACAAATGGAGCTGTGTGCGCGAACACATTCATCTGCTGCTTACACAGCCTGGTTCCCAATGGGCTGCAGTCCAAAGGTTGGGGATCCCCAAAAAAGTCCTTTGGCCTGATCCAGCAGGCCCCTTACTACATTCTTGCAGTCTAGGAGAAAACTGCCTAGCTTGATGTGGCAGAATGAAGGAATGACACCCAGAGCCATAGAACTATATAGATATAAACCAGTGCAAATATTTTTGATCAAAGGCTTCTCTGCTGTCACAACAGCAAAATGTCTGTAATATGATACATTTAAGGAATGAAGTGGCTTTGCCATATGCCTTTTACAACTTTTTGCTTTCTATCACATTGCCTAAGCATTTAATATTCTATAAAAACCGAAGGAAATTTTTCATACCCAGCACTTTTGTCCTTCTCGTGCTATAACCATCTCTTCTTCATGTAATATTTTATTCTTTTTACATCTCTTTAAATTGTAAAGGTAATTTGTCATGTGCCTCAGAGGAACTGCTGTTTAAGAAATGTGAACCAAAACAATGCAGCAGAACTATTCACTTCTTTGGTTTCCAGCCAGTTTTTGAAAACATAACTTATAGGATGTGTTTAGACTTCAAAATTGGTATTTGTTTTATATAGGTTGGGGATTTGGGAAGCAGAATATACATATAATCTGTCTTCATCCTTGCTGTAGACTATGGAGCTTTTTTCAAGCCTAATTGTAGGATAAGGTTGTATGAGGGGTGATACGTAGCTTCATAGATACTCCTTCAAACACTGCAAAGTATTTCATTTCCCCTCTTCCAGCTGTGTAAAGATGGACAATATTGGTCAGGTATCTCCATACACTCCTGAAGATTTTGCCAAGAAAACTGCAGGGACAGGAATTGAGTTTCCTGGGTCAAGGATGGCTTGAAGGCAATCCCAGGTTCTTGAGAAGGACAGAAATGCAAAATCCCAGTCTTAACATCTGACTGACAGTGCAACTACTCATAATAATATGAAAGCATGTATGGGTATAGGGATTTGGCACTGTGCATCATTAGAATGAGTGTGTGCAACACACATATATCCTGCTGCCAGATTTTCCCAGGGAAATGCAGCAACCATGATGGGAAAATGGCTGCTGTTCCTTTTTTAAATGGATTTACTTATTTCCATTTGTAAGGTAGAATCTGGTAAACTCAATGGGATCACCTGGTCATGATGCAAACCTGCATTCATTTACTAGCCCTACTGAATTTAAGAGGAAGTCTCAAATAAACGGGCAGAATTGCACCATTAGTTTGGAGTTTCTCCACATTTGTATCTCAAAAGAGGGATATCAGGTGATCTCCCATCCTAATCCTGACCAGATCCAGGCCAGCTTAGTAGCTTCAGTGTTTGTTGCAAGATAAGCCTTCAAGCCTTTGACCCTTGGATGAAACGTTAAGACATTAGTGCAAACTTCTTTCTCCTCCTTGTGTTTTAAAATAATATGATGTTAATTTGGCGACCACCGTTGTTTTGAAAAAAGAGTGGGTTATCCCCCCCTATTTTTACATAGTCTCTTAGTTGGGCTTCTTCACATAAATAGGGCTAATCACAAACCTACTTCCCTTTTAGGTGGGCTCTTTCTTCATGATAAATCTCTGCCTTGTGGTCATAGCAACCCAGTTCTCGGAGACCAAGCAGCGAGAGAGCCAGCTAATGAAGGAGCAACGGATCCGCTACCTCTCCAATGCAAGCACGTTGGCTAGCTTTTCAGAGCCTGGAAGCTGTTACGATGAACTTCTCAAATATCTGGTCTATGTCCTTCGGAAGACTGGCAAGCAAGTGATGGAAACCTGTCAGACCGCAGGGGTAAAGATGGGCTTCCTCTCCAGCCCAGGTAGCAAGAACAGTGCAGAGAGACAACCGTGCAAACATCGTCCACGGAAAAGATCATCAGTGCATCATCTCATTCACCATCACCATCATCACCACCACCACTATCACTTAGGCAATGGAAGCCTACGAGCTCCACGAGCCAGTCCAGAAATTAGTGATGTGGAAACCAGCTCCCTTCACAACGGTGCCAATCGGTTGATGCTTCCCTCAGTAGTCAATCCTTCTCACGTGGCGTCTGGGAACACGGAATCTGTTCACAGTATCTACCATGCGGACTGTCATTTTGAGCCAATTCATTGCCAATCCTCTCTCTCTCAGACTGGTCTCAGTTTGCCGGGACCCGAGGTGCTTCCCAGGACTGTTGTTGGCAGCAAGGTTTACCCAACTGTACACTCAAGTAGCTCCCACGAGGTCCTCAAAGATAAAGGTTTGGCAGAGTCCACATTGAACCCCGGGGTTAGCACGCTGATGAATCTTAACATCCCTCCTGGGCCTTATAGTCCGATGCAGAAGATATTGGAAACACAGAGCACTGGTAAGTATTAAGCTTGGATGTGGGCCATTCAGTCAAGCTTAAATGGGAGGCAGAGTAATAATCATTGTGTTCCCCTTTTCTCTATCTTGTCCTTAGCATTTCCAACTAGCTACCTCTCAGGGACAACTTGTAGAGTCCCAGAAAAGGTTGCAAAAATTCCTGCCTGCAATTTTGGAAAGCTATTGCTCATCAGTGTTTACAGCATGGAATCTCATGGACAGCATTTTGAAACAAGGGTTTAATTTAATGACTGAGTTCACACTTCACATGACTCACATGGTGTTTATGGGAGCAACTATGGCTGTAATATTTGAAACCAGTGAGAAATCCACACAAAAAAGCATTAAAGACTTCGGCTTGCCCAAGTCACACAGAACCATTCTCCTGAGAATTTAGGTTCTCTGAGGATTTGTCTAAAAGCTGAAAGTGTGTGTGTGTGTGTGTGTGTGTGTGTGAGAGAGAGAGAGAGAGAGAGAGAGAGAGAGAGAGAGAGAAAGAGGAGCTTTTATAATATAAATATACAAGGTGTTATTGTTGGATAGTAATATATTTCTGTTTGCCACCTTTTTTTCCCAACTTGCATCTATCTCCTTTCAGAACAATTGAAAAGCATGCCAGTGATTGATCTTTTTGGAGGCTGTGGGTTTCTTTCTGTGCAGGGTTGACTTGGGGTCACACTGATCCAGTTCTGCTGAATATCAGGGATAATTCTAAGCAAACAGGCACAGGTCCAGCCTGCGTCTTCTGTAAATTGTAAGAGGTTCCCATCTGGAAATGGGGAATTTCAGTCATCATCCAAACTCCTGCAAATATTTATTCAGAAGTGTGAATGTTCCCCTGTAACGATGCTGTTAATATAATGTAAGAATGGCCTCTGGAGAGTCCGCATTTCATTTTCCAAGATTTCTCTGTGTGCTTGCAGTGTTTTTTTGAATCTCTCTAAGCATGAGAAACTTTCTGGGAATGAGGCAGGGCCAGCTTGCCAAAATCTTACAATTTGTCTCCAAGAGAAGGTCAGGCTAGGTGATCCAAGGTTCCCTGCTGACTTTAAAATGAGATAGGAGTTAAGACTGGATTCAGAATGAGTTCTGAGGACAAACTCGTCACTTCACTGTAGCCAACTTCATTAGGGGCTCTTCTTGCATTGGAAAGCCCATCTGTCAGCTAAGATTGCAGGAAATTATTTCAGAATGTGAGTTAGAAGAAAAGTTGTTACCACTGAAGTATCAGCAAGCGGCAGGAGCGCATAGGCTGTGGTGGTGTCTCTGGATTGCCTAATACAGTCCTGAGGTCGACTTATGACCTCAATTGAGCCCAACATTTCTGTTGTTAAGTGAGACATTTGTTAAGGGAGCTTTGCCCCATTTTACGACCTGTCTTGTCACAGTTGTTAAGCGAATCACCACAGTTGTTAAATTAGTAACAAACCTGTTAAGTGAATCTGGCTTCCCCATTGACTGTGCTTGTCAGAAGGTCACAAGAGGTGATCATAAGACCCTGGGATATTGCAACCATCATAAGTATGAACCAGTTGCCAAGCATCTGAATTTTGTTCATGTGACCATGGAGATGTTGCAAGTGTGAAAAACGGTCATAAGTCACTTTTTTCAATGCTGTTGTAACTTTGAACGGTCACTAAATGAACTGTTGTAAGTTGAGGACCACCTGTATTACATGTGCCATAGATTTGATTGATTTCTGTTTCACCTTAATGGCCAAACGGGTAATGAAACAGTTGCAAATGCTTGCCAGTGGTCAGCATTTGCTGATGAGTTCTAAGGTGTGCATGTATGCACGTCTGTTTGGCTCACCTTCAATGTGTGCATCTGAATAGATTTCAACAATTCAAGGTAGGGAACCAAGCAACCATTAAGCACTTTCTCCCTCTTAAAAAAAGGTTGCTGTTAACATTAAACAAAGGAAAAGAAAATCTGACATTATTTGAATAACCTCCAGAAGAATTGTTCTTTTCTTTAGCCTGGGGTTAAAGAGATGTAGCTAAATAGCATTGATGGTCATTTTCCTGAATAAATATTTGGGGTGTTTCTCCCCCTCCCCCAATTTGTTATGGCAAAGGTAAACTTTAATTGGTACAGCACAAAACACAACATTGTGTTGTTTTGAAAGTCTTTTATATTTTCTAACCAGGAATGCTAATTCTGATCTTGGTCAATGGAAAACCCTTTTGCGTAGTTATATATACCACTGACGCTTCTGCTTGAATGAAAAGGTGGTGTAAATTAAGCTGTGTATTCTTTTAGGCTTTAATATTTTGTGGAGATATTGCAACTTACATGCCAGTTCGCTAACAGATGCAAATGTTTCCCAAGAAATGGTTTGAATGAGGTAACTGAAAACCCATGTTTTGTAATATTCATGGTCACTTAGAAATGTGCAGCTTGAGCATAGATGATTCAAAGTTTACACTGTTTCGGCAGTTTTTCTGATAATTTTCTACAGTGCTTTTTTTGTTAAAAAAACAAAAACGTGCCGGAACTCACACACATCATACAACCCGCCTTGCCCACCCTACAAGGTTCCATCCAAAAAAGGTGCTGGAACTCTGTTCTGGGGGTTTTATGAGGAAAAAAAGCCCTGATTTTCTAGTGGTGCTCTTGAAAGTTTCCCATTATTCCTCTGTAACTTTGCATTTTCTCAGGTGACTTCAGGATATGTCTTATTTTATTGTGGCCACCATCTTGACTTTTCTTGATGCACTCTGTGGTTACTCCTGGCACAATAGATAACAACAAGAGAAAGGCTCCTAAGTCATGCCTTGCCTTTCCCAGACAAGAATCTCCTTGACCCACATTATTTAGAGAGGAATCAGAGAAAGATCCTATCCTGACATTTGCTTAACAACAGATTGATCTTCCAGATCAATTCAGTAAATTTGACCAACCTTAACTGGTTAACTTTTTACTTAGTAAAATCAGGGACCTCAAATTTCAAAATACTCTCTCATTTTCTGAAGGACTTCAATGCTCTTTTCTTCTGGGAATAGTGCTGCAGAACAAAAAGTATGTTAATGTTTTAAAACAGTCAGCTTTTATAAATCTAATCATGATTCTAGATCTATTTTGCCTAGCCTTCAGAAATGTTTTGAGTCAGGTTCAGCAGATATTTCTTTCTTTATTATTCAAAGATTACATTTGCATACTCCAAAACAGCCTCTCTCCTTCATTTTCAGGACAGACCTTACAAGCATGAAATATTAGCACTCTTATTTAATGAAGGGTATTTATAAATTTTTGATCCTGCATTTTCACAGCTAAAACTGTTCCAAAGTGTGAAAAACTTTTAGAATAACATTTAAAAAAACTTATGTAAAAGAGCTAAAGAATAAAAGCAAAGTAAAATCTGCAGTAGTGGAAAGCTCTAAATGGCAGGATCACCACTTTCAAAAACCGAAACACTGAATATCAGGGAGGATAAAATCACCTTCACGGGGTTACAAAAAAAATACAGAGGAGATGGCTGATGCTTTCTGGAATTCCAGATTATGAACCTGCAAAACTGTTACAGCCACTGTTGGGCTTGATAACATCATCACCACCACCATTACCATCATCTCCACTGCCTTCCTCATCTTCATCGCCACTACCCAGGGCTTTTTTTCTCATAGAACACTCAGAACGGAGTTCCGGCACCTTTTTTGGATGGAACCTTGTAGGGTAGGCAAGGCGGGTTGTATGACATCTGTGAGTTCCGGCACCTTTTTCTTTTTCTTTTTTTACAAAAAAAGCACTGCCACTACCAATGTGCTACTGCTGTTTCTGCAACAAAAAAGGGGTCTAGGTTACAAATTGTTAGGCCATCCGTCCCACCACTCTATGCAGCCAGGCTCCTAGGTTTCAAATGTAGTTCTTGCCAATATAAAATACCCTTGTACAAAGTGTGAATGAATAAATCTGTCTGATTTGATCTCAGTCGGTTTCTAGTATTTAAACTCTTTCATTCATTTTCTCCTGTTTTAGTGTCTTTTCTCCTGACTTCAAAAAGTGTCCATAAACATTCATGTTTTCAAGCATATGTGATTTTTGTACCAATTTAATTTAATATTAATTATTTAAATTGACATCCAGCTTTTATCTCAAATTGTCCTACATAGCATTTCCCCTGCTATCATTTCCCCAGAACAATGACCCTATAGAGGTAGGGTGTGCTTAGAAAAAATAATTGTCCCACAGTTGCCCAATGAGATTCCATAGTTTGATTTGATACTTTAACCACTACATCACATGGGATCTTGTATAGGGCTCCATTTTTTTCTGCAATCTTCTTTATATATACAGGTAATCGTTGACTTAACGATCACAACTGAGCTCAAAATTTCTGTCGCTAAGTGAGACAGTTGTTAAGTGAGTTTTGCCCCATTTTACAACCTTTCTTGTCATAGTTATTAAGTGAATCACTCCAGTTGTTAAGTTATCAACATGACTGTTAAGTGACTCTGGCTTTCCCATTGACTTAGCTTCATAGAAGGCTGCAAAAGGTGATGACATGACCCTGGGATAGTGTAGCTATCATAAATATAAGTCAGTTTTGCCAAACATCTGATTTTTGATCACATCGGGATGCCGTGACGGTTGTAAGTGTGAAAAATTGCCATAAGTCACTTTTTTCAGCGCCACTGTAACTTTGAATGATCACTAAACAAACTTCGGAAGTCGAGGACTACCTGTACAGTTTTGGTCTCAAAAATATAGCACATATTCTGAAGAAAATTAAATGCTGATGGCTAATTAACATTGCAGTCCATGCAAAGTCACCTTTCCCCATCTGATAATATTTGGATTAGGCCAGTGTTTCTCAACCTCAGCAACTTTAGATGTGGGGACATCTACTCCCATGCTGGCTGGGGAATTCTGGGAGTTGGGGTGCCCATAGTTGCTGAAATTTGCAAAAACCTGTATTAGGTTTCAACTACCATAAATTACCAAGAGGAAAGTATGAACCAAAGTAATATTTCCCCATTCTTACTACAGGTTGAAGTCAGCAGTAAAATGAAATGGCCTAAAATTCTTAGGATTTCTCAAAAAAAAAAAAAAAAAAAGGCCACCTCTGGGTTTTGTCAATGTCACATTGTTCATCTGCTCCAAAATAGGACTTCTAAGAAGGCTGTTAAACGAAGATTTGTTTTTTCCCCTCATTTTAGGTCCCTGTCAAAGTTCCTGCAAGATTTCCAACAAAGGGGGGAAACCTGACAATCTTTGCAGCCCAGAAAGTTGTCCCTATTGCACAAAAACTCTGGCTAACAATCCAGAGCAGAAGGATCATGAGGCAGGAGACTCAGACAGTGATGCAGTATATGAATTCACCCAGGATGCTCACTACAGTGATCAACGAGACCCTCAGCGCCAGAAAGCTCGGGGAAGAAACACATTAAAACTTCTAGCCTTTTGGAAGGTGATTTGTGAGACATTTCGGAAGATTGTGGATAGCAAATACTTTGGCCGTGGCATCATGATTGCTATCCTGATCAATACACTCAGCATGGGCATTGAATATCATGAGCAGGTAAGCAGAACCTTATCTCTATTTTAATCTTTTTGGATCGATTTTTCCCTACAGCCAAAGAGCCCAAGGGTTGGCCTTGTTAGCTTCATCTTGCTTCTGCTCTTAGCCCCTGGAGTGAAAATTCATGCCTTTCAGCATCGATTAATGTTGACCCTTTTCTTTGTGCTTTGCACTGTATAGCTAGGTTAATTCTGCTTGTTATTAGATGAAACTGCAATGTATTTTAAGGGCAGCAACAGTGGCAGAGCTTCAGTAAATACTTCTTAGTATGTTGATGAATTGGGAGGGACACTTCTGAGCAGGGAACGTATTGGTTGGTTTGAAAATGAGTAAAGTGCAGAGGCTTGAAACTTTAAAGTTAACAAGGAGGGAGGGTTAGTTTGGATGTTGGTAGGTTGGCTGGAAGTTGGCAGATTGGCCAAAGTTCGGAGGTTGGTTGGCTCTATTGTTGGTCAACGGTGACAATAGTCTTGGATAGCAGAAACCTGGGGGGAGGGGGAACCCACTGGAACAGGGAACTACCCAGCCCACCTAAATTAGCTTGTTACTTTCAGCTGCAATAGATGTCTTGTCCCACTGTCAAATGTTACCAGGGTGGCTTTAGGGTGTGGAAAAGGGGTGGGAGGCAATCTTAGTCCACCCCAGGCAGCAAAAAAGGATAGCTTTAATGGCTGATAGCTTAACTAAGGCAATACAGTTATAATCAGTTGGTGGTTGAAGACAGGAGGTGAGATGAGAATGAGAGTTGGCAATGGCTACACTCGTCTTCTGTACTTTGCAGTAACAGTGAGAGTTCCGTGACCTGATCAGTGCTGCAAAAATTATCTATGTGAAATCATGTGATGTTTGTTTTTGATAGCCACTTTATAAATAATTATTTATGTTAAATCAGTTTATATTTCTTAATAGCTATTTTACAAAAAGAAAAATGTGAAATCAGTACGCTAGAGGCAAACTGTACAATGAAATAAGTACTGTACTTACATGCGTGCTTTTTGCAAAACCTAATGTCTTCCTTTTCTTGCAGTTGGAATGTTGTTGTCACCCTTTAACTAGACATGCTGGTTGCTCAGATCCACCCTATTTAGGATGTAGGATCTGTGCTTAGAGTACGTTTTTAATGGGATGAATAGAACATCACTGATCTGGGGCTGCCAACTATAGTATTTACTGTTCACAGGAACAATTTGAGAAGACCACAAATTCCCATGGTTTTGTGAGTGAAGAACCTAAAGCATTTCAGATTTCAGTGAACAGTAACAAGCAGCATTACGCTTAATATTGAGGTTCAGACAATCCTGGCTTGTGAAGAAATGAGACCAGTTGGGTTAGATATTGGTTGCAAACAAGATCTTTAGAAAGTATGGCATACATTTAAACTAATCCTAACCTAAGCAAGCAAGAGAGTCAATTTAGGGCAGAGATTAAGATCTCAGGCTGGAAATTGGGAGAGTGACCTTGAGCCAGGAAGAAGCAAGCAAATTACTTCTGAAATCTTGCCAAGAAAACTCTAGAGCAGGGGTGTCAAACTGCCAGCCCGTGGGCTGGTTGCATCATGCAGAGGCTGCGTCCACCTCAGCTCTGGCAATGCAAAAAAAAGTTGTGATACATTGCAACATGTCACATGACGTGGCGAGTTTGACACCCGTGCTCTAGGGACTTATCCAGGCAGTCACAGGTAGTCCATTCCAACTCAAAGGCTCCCTCCACCAAAGCAAAGAAAAATGTATGTAGATCTATTTTGAAGGTTAATTGGAAGAGTGATGTTGGAGGTGGGTCTAATTTTGGGGGGTTAATCATTTTTCCACTCAAAATCTCTCCTCTACCCATCTTTCTTTTGTGGGGAGTAGAAGAGCAGTTTGAAGAAAGGGAGATTAAAGGGAGATTAAATAGGAAAAAGGCTGGTAGTGAAAATGTTTTGTATTTTGCCACATACTCTTCATAGCCAATCTTCTACCCAAATTCACATTTTGTTGATACTAATTTCTCCCTATTAAAATGTGACTATTGGAGCATCTACCTTTTAAATCACTCCCTGCTGTATAATTTCCAGATAGTTTTCCAGCTGTAAATCTCTAAGCACCTCACTCAAGAGACACTGAAAATGCCTAGACTACTTTGCATTGAACATAGAGTATATAGCTAGCTGTCTTCTCCAGCCTGGTGCCCATCAGATGTACTGGATGACCCACCCAGCACAAAGTGGAACAATTTAGGAAAAGCTGATATACAGGACCAAACTCTTTTGAAAGCATCACTGTTGCTGTTTTTCAACCTTGGTTTTCTTTCTTTTTGCTGTTGAACACAATTCCTTTTCTTTTTGTATTCAGCCCTTGACAGCAGAACAGCAGCTGCAAATTCAGTTCTGCAACTATTAATGCAGGTGACAATGTCATCACAATGTATTAATATAACAGTGGCTATACATTATGGGGTCAAGGCCATTTGTATGCTTGATGTATGCTTCAAGCGCATGCGTTTCTGGGATCTAAACTCAAGACGGACCAGTTTTTGTTGTTTGTTATGACCTTAAATAGAATGACACTGTTCAACTCATCCCAGTAGAATCTTTGGCATGTTGTTTGACCTCCATTATGTTGCCCTTACTGAAAATATGTCTCCAAAAGAAGAATGAACTGGGTGCTTTTAAAATTCAACATGATTCTAAGAAAACAGTGAGCAGATTTATTTTTTTTTTTGAAAATCCAGGGGGAAATGAAGTTAAAGTTCAATGTTGACATCTTTGACCATGTGACATAGCAATGCCATTTCTGCATATAGTATGCTAGATTTGAGACTTGCAGTTCCTCTGACTGCCCTTCCAATTATCCATCCTTCCTTGTTAAAGAGTCTTTATAGGGAGGGACATACACAGAGAGAATATAGCAACCAATCACCTTTTCTTAGACTGATCAGAAAATATATATACAGATCCAAAAGCTTATCAATATACTTGGTTTCCTTGGGTCAAGGATAGGCAGTGGGCTGCCCCAAGATACTTTTATGGGTGCTCACCAAACTGCCTGCCCCATCTGATATTCCTTGTAAAGTTATTAAAGCCTTCTGGATTATGATTTGGTGGAACATTCAAAAGGTTTTTAAAAGGAAGATTAAGTTTACTCCCCAACTGTTTCTTTTGGGAATTTTCATGGACTTTAATGTTAAAGAAACTATCTTAATGTTGAATTTAATAACAGCAGCAAGATTACTGGTGGATCAATATTGGAAGAAGGATACTCTGCCTTCTTTAGAAGAATGGGTATTTAAGGTTTCTAATTTAGCAGAAATGGCTAAAATTTCTGCTTATTTAAAGGACCATTCACAAGAGAGATATTTTAATGTATGGAGACGATGGATAGAATATGTTCAGAAGAAATATGGAACTACAAAGTTTCACTTATTCTATGAGTAATGATTTTGTTTATAAACTTATGATGTTAAAGTTTGAAGAGAGTTAAGGGTTTTTTATGATTTTGTTCATTGTATAATTAGTAAACTTAAATAGATTATGTTTAATATGTTTGCATAATCCTGTATTTTGCTCTGGGAAGTCGGGGGAGGGGGGTGGGGGGTGGATGGGTTGAAGTTTAAGTAGTTCAGATAAAGTAGAAATAGTCTTATTGTACATAATATTAATGTTTTAATTTTGAGAGAGGAACTGCTCGGGCATTTCCCCTGGACCACATCAAGCGGGAGGAGAAGAAGGTCAGAAGTAAGTAGGAAGGTTGAGGTGAAGGAGGAGAGGGGGTGAGTGAAGAAAAAGAGGGAAAGAAGTAAGTTGGTTTGAGGTGGGATGCGGTTTGGGGGGAAATGGGCGGGCAAGACCAAATGTGGTGTGTATCAATTTGTTTTATTTTTTATCTGAAGTATTTGTAAGATGGTCATGTATTGTAAAGTTGAAAATAAAATTTTTTACAAAAAAAAAATAGATAAGTTTTCATAGCACCACTTTGTCAATTGTTCACAACATACTCTTAGAACACCCCCCCCCCCCCCAAAGTTGCATATGTTCTAAGTCAGAAGTCCCCAATCTTTTGGGAACCCGGGACCCGTTCCATGGAGAAAGGTTTTTCTCTGGACTGGAGAGTTCATGGTTTTGTGTGCTACCTGCATCCCATGGATGGGGCTTTGCTTGTTTGTGCAGACTTGTTGCTGGCATGCTACAGCCTGGTACTGGTCCATGGACTGGAGATTGGAGATCCCTGTTCTAAGTGATGGCACATCGTACTTCTGTCTTTAGGAATGTAGTCTAAAAAGGATCACATGGCCAGTTCAAAAGGAGTTCAAAAGATTTTGTACCTATAATTATACAAGAAGGCAATATTAACTGAGACAGTACGGATGTTATTTTTTCTTTTTAAAAAAATTATCAGTCAAGAGAATGCATGTGTGTCAGAGCATGCACAGTCTTATTGCACTGAGATAACCCAGGAGTAAACACAGTAAACAGTGCTCTATATTAAATGGTGGTTTATATTACACTATCAACATTATCATACACCAGGAACAATATATACACATGCTGATGCAATAGGATCCAACACACAGCAGTTACAGCAGGAAACAGAAGAGAAAGAAAGCACATCAGCAGAGCCTTCCTTGTATACAAAGGCTTTTAAAGAGACACAGAGACAGCTGGCTCTTAAAGGGACATAGACTCTACTGAGTCATTCCCAACATTACATCATACATCTTACATTACATCAACTGGTTAGCTTTTAAATCATTACCATGACAATGTGACCATTCTTTTTCTGGACTCTCAGATGAATACTAATTGTCAAATCCTGCTTTTATTAATTCATTTAACCAAGGGGAAGTAAAACATAAGGAAAAGTTTTTGGGGTAAACTTCTGGAGCTTACAATGTGTTGCTTCCAAATCTGAGTTTTATGAGATAGGGTATTAGAGCTAAGAATTGTTGGTTCTGGCTTTTTGCTGAAATTATCTATTGTGAATGTGACCTTACCATCTACCCAGTCCACTGTAACAACAAACAAA